AAGAATATTAATTTAGTTCTAGAAGCAGAACCATGTATCAAATAGTACCAATTTGAACTTATAATAAAATATATTAACTTTTAACATTCCTATAAAAAAATAACAACACCTCACTAAACCAAAACAACTATTCCTTGAAATTAACCAAGCTATTAGATAACTAAAAAGCTCTATTAATAAGAACAAAAGTAAGTCTTCCAATATTCTTTTTACAAGCAAAGTCAAATCCTTTCATAAAAAAATATTTAGCCTCCTTCAATAATTGCAACTATTAAAAAACTTTTAAAGCACTACTAATTAAAAAACAAAAAAGAATAGCTAACTACATGACTGAACAAATCTCAATTCAAGTTAAAGAAAACTACTTCAACTTTTAGAAAAGACCCAAACAATATATTTTAATAACTCTTAATGACCTTAAGCCATTCTTTAATCTATTTATTTTTCATGATGACATTCAACTACAAGATGATCCAGATATACTTGATGATATAATCATTAGGCATTACTACAAACTTCTTTTATCCAAAGAGTTTTCTATTAGTAAAGACTAGTTCTCAGACTACAGTTCCAGTGATCAAATACTTACTTATCTATAGTATATCATATTATATTCACCACAATTAATCAGGATGACATAGAAGAGTTAATCTCATTCTTTCCTCTAAACAAAACATCTGGCCTTATTAAAATTCCTTATAAAGCCTAGACTCATATGGCCAAAAAATATTTGAAAAGCTCTTAAATGAAATTCTCAAAACTAGTTATATTCCAGTATTCTGAAAAAAATCTGTTATCAGTTTACTATCTAAGAAACTAGTAGAGTCTCATAATCTCTCAGACATCAGGCCAATAGCCCTAATTTAAACTAATTACAGTATCTTTATAAAAATACTTAATACAAGATTATCCTCTATTATTGCCAATAACAATATTCTCTCACAATCAAATTATACAAGTATAAAAGATCAAAGCACTATGGAACTCATTTTTTATTTTTATTTTTTTTATAACCTATGGTTAGGCCAGTACTGTATATTTATTAATCATTATAAAAACTAATAGAGATATAGTATATAGGGCAAATGCATCATGGCTAAACTAAAAGACTTGTACTAATACACTCATCAATGGCTTTTAATTCTCAAAAAAACTTTAGTCTCTAAGTGCAACCTTGGAAACAATGTTTTACTTTGGACTAAGTTTTGAGTAAAAACCCTTCTAACTTATCTATTATTGCTAGCAGATTATTACTACTTATTATTTTTCAAAAAATTGAATTCAAGAAACTGCAAAAGTAAAAAGGAAAAATAAAAAAAAAGTAAATATTTAAAAATATGCAAATGCACTATATAAAAATGAAAAGGAAAAAAGAAAAATAAAAATACTTTATGTCTAAAAATCTCTTCTTATTATTCTCATTAGGAGTTAACCTTTCTAGATATTCTTCTTCTTTCTGATCATTTGAAGAACTTATCTATTCACACTCTTAATTATTTTTTGTAACCATCTAAAGTACTTATTGTTTACTCAGATCCAGTATCTTGTTCAACACTTTTTTTCTTTCAGTCTTGATTTTGTATCCACTTATACAAAAGAAGATGACTAATAATGGATCCTAGGTTTTTATATGACTTTTTAGTCTTGTTGAGTAATTTCTGATATCTTTCAGTAGCCATACCTAGTTAAAGAAATTTTATTGGTGTTCATCTTGATTGCGATATCATTATACAATATCTGGAGAAATACATTCTCAATCCTAGAGAAGGGTCATATTTTATATTCCTTTGTTTTTCAGTCTTACAGCCTGACCAAAATAAGAAAATAATCTCTTTTATGTATTTTGGCTAACTGAAATAATAAGAAGTTAAAGACCTTAGCTTGAACAAATAATCACTTTTTCATTATCTAGGGAATTTGGTGTTCATCCTAATAGCCTTATGATTTTCTTACTTTAGTTAAACTTCATTTGAAGGTATGGAAAAGTTTATATTCTTGATTTCTCTTTCAATCACTAATAACGTCATTGAAATATATAAAATGACCAAAAGGAACTTGTTTACATTTAGCTACTAACATGTTTTATATTAACCAATTAGATACCAGATAACATTATACTATCAGAAATTTAGGATCAAACTGAGGTAGGTAAAATTTTCCAAGAAAATCATAAAAACAGTAAGCATTTTAAGAAGATATAAGACAATATATATGAAGGTAGAAAATAAGTCTTCTCCTATCAACAAAATCTCTATTTCTTGTTACTTCCAGCTCTGTAAGATGATACTTCACTTGTCAGTCCTTTTAATTCCTAGAACCTTCTTGCCTTTAGTAGAAGAAGTACATACTTGAGTCTTGTCAGATTACTAGAGACTCAAGTTTTTATTTAAAGGAGTTTATAAACAAGTAAAGGAGGGTAGAAGAGATAAATAAAGACAAGCTTCAAGTTGTTTTAATGAAAGTATAAAGACTTTATTAGTAAAGAAATATAAAACTTCTTGTAAATATCTTTTTTATATGTGATCAGAAGATTAGTGAAAAGAGTATTATAAAATCCATTTCTATTATTCACTTTTTTATAAATACCTCAACCAATTTGATGGAAAAATTCCGAATAACTTTATTTGATATCTCTAAAGTATATGACTCAGTCAACCTTGATAGTCTCTTATTAGCTATGAATCAAATCAAGATTCTATAACAAATTTTATCAATCATACTAAATCTATTAGTAGATAAATCTCTTTAATTTATATTTCATTACAATATTAACACTCCCCTATTGGTTTTCCAGGATCTAGATTAAGAAGAAACTATAGCACTCCTTCTCTAAACTATCTTTTATGATTCAATAATCTCTAAAATTGAATAAAACCTTAACAATATCTTTGCTTACATTGATGATATAACTATATTTATATATAAACTATCAACTTTATAAGATGTCACCAATATTTTCATATTCTTCCTAAAAATGAATTACATCATATGCAATAAAAACAAGATAGACATTATAATCAGCCACTCTTTTAAAAATAACAAATATAAAAAGAAGCTTATAGTAAAAAATATACCAATATCTCCAAAATTTATATATCAATCTATTAAGTATCTAGGAATATATTTATTAGGCAAATCATCATTATCTGATACAAAAAAAAAAAACTCAAAGAGAAAGTTAAAAACTATATCAAACACATTATAGAACAATGAAGCTAGAATGGATCCATTATAACTCAGGTATTCAAATGGATTATCTTTGCTCAAATAGAGTATACCCTTTAGATAGTGGCAATCAAGATCAATGATAGATAGAGACTTCAAGTCCTTTTCAATTATCCTATCAAGTGCAAATTAGAAATAAAAATAACAATCTCTAACAAAGCATTATTCTTACAAGCCAGTCTCAATATCATATTTTTCAAAGCCTAAAAAGATCAAACAATTGTAAAAATATTAATATCAATATTCAATAACAACAAAACTCTCCTCCACATAAAAAAAGAGATTCTATTAATTCAAATGAACATAGTGATCTGGGCCTGCTTAATCTGTCAACCTAAATTATTTTAAAATAATAATTTCTGGATTTTAAAAATAGTTTTTACAACCCTTTTATATAAAATTAATATTTGCCCCAAGAATTACCTATTCTAATACAAGAATTTATATTACTTAATATGATTTCACCTATTAATTAACAAATTCATGATATTATGTTATCTAAATTTAATATCAAATTCATCAGTTATCTTCTCCAATACAAGTCTTCTAAAAAATATATATATAATCAGAATTTCATACTAAAATTGATAGAATCTTATCAGGCAAGACTCCACTCTGGTTTGACAACTTCAAACTCAACATATCAGGTCTAATTGGAAACATTCTTTCCTGTACAACCTTATGTCCCTTATTTTGGACATTTCTTAACAATAACAATTTTGAATTTATCAAGAGATGCAAAAATATCAAAAACATAGAAATAATAAAGGAAAGTTATTTTATTCTTAAAAAAAATAATAATAATTTATATCAACTGACTCTCTATTCCTGTCATTTACAATCTTACATAATTTCAAAACCTATTTTTTATATCAAGTCAACCTAGCATATTATATGAAATAACTCCCCCTACCTTTTAAATAATATCAATAAACTCAGACATATATTCATCCCACAAGTTCTTCAGAGTATTTCAACTATAAATATATTACCTCTTTTTCTAACTATAATCTTGAAATCCAAAAAAATATCTCTTTATTAATACTTTAATACTATTGAACTAGAGGTCAATAATATTTCAACCCTCTACCTAAATCTTTCTCAAATATAAAATGAAATATAAACTATTTTAACAGATTTAATACAATCAATCCCAGTGGGCTCAAATATTGAATATAACCTTAAAAATTTTTTCAACTTTTTAACATTATCATACTTGAATAGAAACATCAAACTACTTTACAGCCACTTCAATAACTATTGTTAAAACCTTTCCAAATTAAAAAACATCTTATTGATCTTTAAAAAACACTTATCTGCAATTAACACTATAACAAACCAGATTATAAAAGAGCTATTTATACTCTCAATAAATAATTACAATATATTGTTACTTATTAATAATCAAATTGAAACTAGCTACATCTACTGGATCAAGTTTATCAACTTATCAGTTAACCTTATCATCATTACTACCAGTCAAAACTGTATTCTCAAATCTATTAATATTTAGGACTTTATATTACTCAAAGAAGTAAACAAAAAGTACCGATATACTGACAAATATCTATTCTGATCATTATCTATATTCAGAATTAAAATTCTTTTCAACAGCCTTCTTACCAGAGCCAAATTTCACAACAGATACCCTTCATTCTACCCACCATTCAAATGTTTCTAGTATAATCATATAACTAAAAATTTAGAACATATCTTTAAGTGCATAGAGAATCTAGAACTACTCAACAAAAAACTTCCTAAATTCAATAACCTTCTCAAAGAAATCCTATAAAAACAAAATAAAAAAAAATCATTTTATACAAGCAAATATTCATAATATATCTATTATACTAGCAAATAGTAGAACACTTCTAAATATTTCTTTGAAAATCCTCAATCAGATTCTTGATCAAATTCATAGTAACAAGGCAAAGATTAAAATTATGAACAAGGCTCTAAAAATCTCTCACAAAATATAAAAAGAAAGATCTGTTATTACAACTATAGCACCACTCAATAGTATCAAATAGAAATCCACAAAAGCAACTAGATTATCATCTGATAATCAATTATCAAACCAGTCTTATAAACTTTTCAGTATCATTTTAATAATATTAAATGTATTCTCAAATTCTATCAGTTACTTAATTTTATTTCCAACAGTATTAACATCATTTTCAAATAAGTAATTGTCATTCAACCCTATTCTGGTACATCCAGTCATATATTGCAAGTGTGTTATAATAAGATAATTGCAATAGATATTGGTTAATTTATTTAGGTATCACAACCTTGTAAAGACTATTTATGTAACTGTTTATAAATTAATTTTCTAATAACAATTAGTATGTATTACTTATTTGCAATAAAAAAAAAAACCTATAAAAAATTTATAAAACAAGAACAAATAAACAAATAAATTAATTATCATAAAGTCTTGATTTTAATTTAATTAAAAATTTGGAATCTAAGATTAAAAAATTTTTTTATTATGAACTAAAATTAAATAATATAAAAAAGTTAAATAATCTTGTTAAAAAGGTTAGGTTTGATATAAAATATCACTTAAATATTGTTATTGATTGGTTGGATTGCCATTTGCATTGTTGCCAAGAAAAAATCTACAAATATTAAAAAATCTTATTGGTTTTTTTTTTATTAAAATTTTTGATCAAAGGAAAAAAAATCAAGTTCTTGGTTTTTTCTTTTATAACTTTTGTGCAACCTAATAAAAATTAAATGAAAATTTAATGATTAATACCATAAGACTTTCCAAACATATGACAAAAATTTCATATTATATTTACTTGCTCAATTCTGAATAATAAAAATTTAAAAAGTGTTTACAACATTTTGATAGATCACTCTATATATTAATTCTTAGATAATATAAGAAACATTCATTTCTAAATCTTTTAGTAACAAATCATTTTTTCAATAAACATGGAATTGAGCAAAAAATAAATGAATTTTTAATGTTCGTCATTGAAATTTTAAGTCACGTGGATTTAAGCATCATCCCAACATTTACATTAAATACCAAATCTATCATTCTAGTTTTTTTTTATCATACATAACAGATCAACTTTTATTCAAAATATATATGCATATTAGGTAACGTTATTTCAACTTGAATGGTAGCTTCGCTTCAATAATCATCTGGATTTCGGGTTTCATGAGCCAGGAGGAAGAATGAGATAGTGTATAAAGAGAGAGAGGCAGGAGGAGCAACAGCATTACCAATCATTTATCCTTAGATCGTATAGACATATAATGCCTTAAATAAATCAACGTGAACAACTACGGTTCGTCCCATTTTTATGAATCATCGTGTTAACTTTGTTTGGAAGAAAATCAAAGTTAAAATTTGAACCCTGCGATCAACTAAAAACGGATAGCAATCATCCTATTCACTCAAATGTCATATTCACCGTTGCAAAAAACACAACCGTATTATTTTTCCTCAGTTCCTTGACCACCCAAGTTATATTCTTTCAATAGAGCATCAATTTCATCTGGCTTGTAAAGATGATAGACAACTTTCCCTTCATCATTGAGGCTGATGGTCGCAAATTCCACTAAAAGGTGATTTAATAATTACTTGTCAATATTTTTGGTTCGAGAACAACGGTAAAATCCAAAATCTTTGTTAAATGAAGGTTACATTTTTCACTGCTCAATGTAGTGGAATCCATTGTTTTGCTCAACACTTTTGCCACCAGCTCCTTTGCATCCTTGAGAGTGATGTCGTCTCTATAATCCTGCTTTAACAATGATTGAGCTGTCGCGTTATTAGCTCCAATGCATGTCGCTTTCCATCCGCCATAATTACCGGATGGATCAGAGTGATAGAGTTGGAGACCATAATGACTGTCATAACCGGCGTAGATGAATGAGACGCCAAAGGGACGCAAACCTCAAAAATTTTTTAAATAAAGAATAAGAGATCGGTGAAAAAGAAAAAATTTTTTCCACTTGAAAAACGTGATAATTCTTACCACCGAACTGAGTATATCCTTGTTTAAAGTCGCATAACCTCTGCACCAGCTGTTCAACGGGAATGTCCTCGTTATAAGTGAACAGATATTGCTGAGCAGACTGACGAGCATAGGATATAAGAATATTGGCATCCGCGGTGATCCCTGCTACACCGCAAATGACGTTGCTATAAGAAGAAAGAAAAAAAAAATCGGTTATCGACTATTGATATTAAAGTGCATTATGGCAAAAAAAAAAGAAGAGGGCGCACATACTCATTCAACAGATATAGTTTTTCACTTGTAGCCGATTGTTCGAGTAACTTGGACGTTACCTTCTTTTCCGCGGCTAACACAATTCCATCAGTCGCGAGGATACCCAGGGCAGTGCCCGCGTGAGATATGGCTTCCATGGCATATTCAACTTGATAGAGCCGGCCTGTGGACGTTAAAGAATTGTATTCAATAGTGACCAATCGTCTTCAAATAGCGTACTCGTGAACACACCTTCCGGCGAGAAAATAATAGTTCTTGCATCATATCTTCGAGCCATGGTTGAATTGTGCTGATAAACGTGGTGCACAGGAAAATTTATGATTATTCGTCATTCCAAACGTAATCGCAATCGTCATCTCCAATCATATCATGTGATAGATAGATTGAAAAATAAACTAAAAAGGCGTTACGTAACAGTCTCTTGTTCTCTCGATAATGAACTCGGAAACCTCTGCACAAGAACGTCCATCGAAAATGGACGTCGAGGAGGAGGAAAAACGACAGTGTGCCGTCGATGCTTTACATCAAAATTGTTTATTGGCGATGTACGCAATTGTTAATTGCGAGGTGCGAATTAAATAGTAATTATTACAGCTCGAATAAAGTGGCAAATGATCAAATGAAAATTTCTTTTCGCTTTAGTCCACTGTGAGGACGAGGTTACGAATGATGCGGTGCGTATTCATTCACGATTGAAAATCAATTTCTCACGTGTAAGTCCATTGACATTATCATTTGTCGAATCGAAAAAAAAGTTATCTAACGGACCTTCCGCAACCAATAAACGAGAATACCGTGCCTGCCGTAGAATCTTCTTCGTCCAGTGTCGCTGATGGACAGATGGTCGAATAAGAATAAAGTTTTATTTTTTAATTTATTTTAGCGGGCATGTAATGGCGCCCTATTCTCGTGGTACCGAGAATGTCTCATAATTTAATTTTCATTGTTATTTCTATACTCTTTTTCGATCTCTTCATCAACGAAATCTTCAATTTCTAATTCCAAAAGAACCTTTTTTTTCAACTCGTCATTCTTCAATTCATTCCTCCAATCCTTCTTGTGGGCCATCATCAACGCCATGACAACGGGTAAATGTACTAAACTAGCAAAAAACAAATCTCTGGAAGATTTGTCATTTGAATCTTTCCAGAATCGATAGGCGCCCAACAAAAGGACACTATTTATTAAACTTGAATCGAATGCAAACCACCAAGTGGTCATGCCGATGTAAGAGGCCATAAAACTTATTGGGAACAATGCTAACGAGTATCTTAACGACACTCGACTATTTAGTTTCGGATTACTTGTGACCATCATTTTGTAACCTGCTTTTGCATAATCGGATCTCATGCTCCAAGCAAGCGAGTTGAAGTGAGGAAATTGCCAGGCGAATAACAATGCTCCCAATATCCATGATCCAGATTCCAGGTTATTTGTGCACGCCGCCCATCCCATCATCGGTGGTATGGCTCCTACAATGGATCCAACCCATGTGTTGGCGATGGTCATGCGTTTCATCGGGGTATAGGCACAAGTGTACAATAGAATATTCGATCCGCCCAGAAATGCGGTTAGAGGGTTGACCATCGTTGACAAAATCCCCACTCCAGTGATCCCGGTTACTATGCCGAAAGAAAATGCGTGAAATGGTGATATGACCTTACGTACAAGTACCCTGTTACGCGTACGTGACATTTGCGCGTCATAAGGAATTTCCATAAATTGATTGATTGCATTCGCTGAGGCCACACACAATCCCGTTCCTATGGTGGTAGCAAAAAGACAGGTCACGTCTGTTGCCATCGGTGCCATGGCGTACCCACACATTGTTGTTAGTATTACAAGAGTCGCGAGTTTTGCTTTCGATAGATCCCTGTAGGCTCTCAAGAGTCTCGGGAGATCCAGCGCAGTGGTTGTTTGCTTTCGCGGAAAGGCGGTGGCAGATACTTGATTCAGTGAGGAAATTTGACGTTGAGTATGAGGCGACCCGCTTATTTTCTTACTATTCGCGTCATGAGATGTTGCCGTTGTCGTTGACGCCGTTACCGTTGTTGTTGACGCTGTTACCGCCTCCTCTGACTTGACAGTTTTATCGGTATTCCCGAATCGCGTGTTTTTGTCAAAGAAAGGCCAAGTTGAATTTGAAGGTCGCGAGCCGTGTATTTTATGTTTCCATTGTTTCTGTATGTGTGCATGAATTCCTTCCGCCGAATAATGTTTCGATCCAAGTTTTATCAAGTATTGTCGCAATAGTTTGCTATTAATGTTCCTTAGTTGAGTCATCAACATGCGGAGAACAAATCTCAACTGATAATCAAGTCTCGATTATCAATGCGCTGTACGTTTATAAAAATAAACGCACATCCTGCATTCACAATTTATAATTTTGCCCGAGTTTTTCTTTTGTGATCTGCGGAAATGACAGAGAACGGAGAGAACGAAACACCGCCCGTGAAACGTCGTGCCTTAACTGCGATAAAACGTCCTCTGCCGTTGTCTGCACAAAAAAAACAAGAGAGTACCGGGAAAAAACGTAGAGCGATTGCGGCCACACCAATAAACATTAAACAGGCATTAGACGGCGGGAACACCATGCGACCGGATACTGCAAGTTCGAACATGGTTGAAGGCTCGATTACTCAGCCGACAGTGACAGAGGCAGCTTCCGAAGAAACGCCGTCTAAAATGGTAAGGTTGTATTAATTAGTCAATATATATGATTATTTACTTTCCGTTTGTTTATATGATGCCTTGCAGGAAATTGACCGTGCGCGTCCATTTTTAGTTACGAAAATTGTCCAGAGCATTGGTCCAGAGTAAACAGACACAAAGAAAACGTAATAGCACCCCCCGCAAACCGAAAACGCGTCATACGCCTAATACCGCGCGTTTCACCCCAAGTTCTACACGAAGGTCATCAAAGAAACCGAATATCAGGAATAGTGAAATAAAGATAAGGAAAAAACAAACTCCACAAGATTTGTTGAGAGTATTGTCGCGAGGTGAGCTCATTGATATCTTTTACTGTAATTAAGTATTTTCAAATTCCTTATCACAATATCGTATCGTCGAAAGCTCCGGGATTTGTGCAGAGGCCAGCTGAACGTGAGATCAAGGAAGCAGACGCTGAAACACATGTTCCCGATCAGGTCGAACCCCAACCGAAAGACGGAGTATCACAGCAACAAGAAAGTGATGAAAACAAGGAAAATGAGTTGGATACGGAAGTACAACGTCGCATGATTCTAGGTGACAGCGATGATGAATTCTCAAAAGTGTTTGGCGATCAAATAACCGAGACTATCGAGTTCACCGGTGAAGTTGCTGATGATATTCAAGAAATCATCCGCATTCAATCACCCGAGTATGTCTTTTTTTAATTAAAATTTTTTATATGATTGCCTCCTCCCTGATTCGATATCGTCCTTTCAGAAACGTATTTCGCAAGGGTGTTATCGATGAACGTGACTCTCCTATAGTAGTCAGCAGACGTTTGTCGCAAACCGATGCGGAACTTGCATTTTGGATGGGCGACTCTAGCGAGGCTCTAAAAATTCCCCCAGGAGGTGCACCGTCCGCAAGGGGTTTAGAACCGTTCAACAGGCTGCTCAATGAACTAATGAAAGAATCATTGGAGGGATTTCAGAGCCCGCCTCCAAACAAAGTAGCCAGCGAGCTTTTTATTCGTGATCCGATACAACATGAAGGTGATGTTGAGTTGGAATATCAATCAGAATATGAATTTGAGTCGGACGGTGAAAAAAAAAGTGAACTGAGTGAAGAATATCAATCGGGATCGGATAATGAAAAGGATAGTGAACAAGGTGATGACCATCACTAAAATTTTCTTGATTTTTTTTTTGTTTGTAAAATCGAGATTTATTAAATAATTTTATTTTAGCACATCAGGCTGCTTCCGATGGCGATACGAGTGCAGAGATTGAGGATAAATATGAGAATGAAATTGAAAAGTCGGATGGCGGAAATGAAAGTGAACGGGAAATTGAAGATCTGGATGGTGGAAATGAAAGTGAACGGGAGATTGAAGATTTGGATGGTGGAAATGAAAGTGAACAAGAGATTGAAGAGTTGGATGGTGGAAATGAAAGTGAACAAGAGGTTGAAGAGTTGGAAGATGGTGGAAATGAAAGTAAACAAGAGATCGAAGAGTTGGAAGATGGTGGAAGTGAGAGTGAACAAGAGATTGAAGAGTTGGAGGATGGTGGAAATGAAAGTGAACAAGAGATTGAAGAGTTGGAAGATGGTGGAAATGAAAGTGAACAAGAGATTGAAGAGTTGGAAGATGGTGGAAGTGAGAGTGAACAAGGTGTCGAGGAGAATTTTGAATTCAGTGACGATAATAATTATGATTATGAGGGTGAAGTGGATTTTCGATCAGAATTAGATGCTCGGATCGGAGGCGAATGTGAAGATAACGATGGGACGGCATACCAATGCGTGGTGGATAGCGAGTGTGAGAATGCAACGATGTCTAGACTTGAGATCGAGGCTGAAGTAAACGGAATGCATGAAAGGAGTAGAAAAAATCCAAGACCAAGGTGTGTTACGATTGCATATCTCTAGAGGAATGACATCTCGCTAATCGTTGATCCTCTGCATTTGCTTTTGCGATTATTGAAACCCGAAGGAACCCTAAACCCAAGGGGAAACCACGCCTCCCGTATAATCTAGTTAAAAAAATATTTAGCAATTTTTCAAAGAATAAAGTTTCGAGCGATGCCATGAAAACTGTCTATGAAGGGTAGGTGACGTAATGCGTAAAACTCGCCGTTTCGAATGAGTGAATAAATTTACTACCTTCTTAATATAGAACACATTTGTTTCTTGAACAAATTACCAAAGACCTGGCCACATACGCGACGCACGGTAAAAGAGAAGTGATTAAAGAGAAAGACGTAACTCTTCTAATGAAAAGGTTAGCATGACGTGCATCAGTTTGTTGAGTATTTCACCCTTCCGGTTTCATAGAAATCATTTGTTCTTACATGATTTTACAAAAAGGCAAGGTTTAATAACCAATAAGGTGAGTTTTGAATCATTGGCGGAGCGTTACTTGCCGCGCGAATTATCCGAGGAAATTTGTCAGGTGGCTAAGGCTGGAAATTCTTTGTTCCCACCGGATAAGTCACACTCAAAGGCGAAGAAAAAGAAATGAATTTTAAGAGTCTATGCGCGGGTTATTAAAGTATTCATGAGTGATTCGTGGAATTTTCACGCCTTCCACCTCTTTCAACTTTGGTTCATGTCGGAATGTGGGACCGGTTAATGCCGGCCTCCTATCTAACCGGAGCACTTATTTATCCTTTCGCGAAGGGGAATGCACCGTTTTGTATATAGTAGAAACTTCTGAAAGTTCAATGTAAATAAATTCTTACAATCAATCAACAATAGAAGTTAATTTTATCGTTACTATCCGTCGTAATTTGTCTCACTTCAAAGTAAATATCTCGAAATAACAATAAATTTCTTATTTCTTTATTGAACATCTGGAGCTACCCTCATTTTTCTGTTAAACGTAGTTTTTTTTTTTTTTTAGATATATTCTTTTTCACAATTTTGGTTAATACATGCCAATATAGATAAAATTCATATGACAATAGTTTAACTAAAATATTAATGTAATGTTCGTAATAAATTCGATCACTATTCAAATTCCCAGTGACCGCAATCTTCGCACGCTATTTCATTTTGGCATTTCGCAATATCCTCCGTGCCCCCCGTAACGGTCGACCACTCCTTTATAACCTTTTCAATGAATTGTAATAACGAATGGTTCTTTATGTTGGATTTCCAACCCAGTCGAGACTTTGTGTCATAAATACACGATTTTCCCAAGTGACATTTCGTTTCCATCTGATTTTTTAAAAAGGAAAAAATTATCATCATTTTTTTTTTTTCAAGATAAATGCATACGCATTTGTCGACAAACCCGAGAAGAAACGTACCGCGAATCCAACAATGTAACAAGAGCGCCAATGGCACTCTCCGGTGAATATCGGATCTGCCGTATGACCAAAATGATAGATATTTGAGACACCGGAATTTTCGACGTCTAACCCAATCCTCTTTGCATATAATAATTCACCAGGCGTCTGAAACACTATGGCCGGTAAGTTATACTTAAACGCGACTAAGGATGCAATCGAGCCACCTTTTTTTTTTTTTTTTAATGTTCGATTCTTAGATTACCATCATTATTTTTTTTGATGGGCGAACAAACTTGACGGAAAGAAATTTACCTAATGAATGCCCGGTTAACCAAATATTAGAATTGGGATAACTCTTTTTCACTTGATCATATATCCTCTTTTTTTTTTTTCAATAATAAATCCAAAGGAAAGGACCGACGAGTTAGCGAACATAACAATCTTAGACTCGCGCGTATAAAATAGATAGTAAAATGGACAAATACCAAACTAGTTTCAAAATAAGTGTCAGTTCTATTGGATTCTCTTGTGACGCATTGACTATCGCACTTATTTTGGAATACTCTGCCTTTCTTACAGTTGCATATACCCTTCCGAAGTGGATTAAAATGAATTTTTGCGCAGCAACAAGAAAACATCAGATTGTCCTAATTATTATTACCATCATTAGTTATATGTGCGCAAAGTGGCATTAAAAGTTAAACGTGGCGCAATAGTGAAGGAAAGAAACTTGCGTTGTATTGATCATTTGGAGCGGTCTCATCATCATCGTAAATGTATTTCACACTAGTCCCCTTGAATGATATGATCACGGTGGAATTATCTTGATCAGCAAATACATAACCTCTCAATCCGCGTTCTTCCCAGCCAAACGGCAATTTCTGTTAAAATGAGATCTATGTTATTGTGGTTGCATGTGTGCAATCCAGATGTAAGCTCATATGATGCCGGTGTAAGCTTAAATGCATACCTCGTAATCTAAATCTCCCAGGTCTAGCCATCCGCTAGAGTTTATACTGATATAGGCATTATAAGACATTCTGGCAAGACTGAGTACCGAAGCTACATCTTTGTGGTTAGGTATGGGGATTTTTTTTCCAAAGTTGTTTAAGTCGAACTCGCCAACCGGAGCTTCTTCACGAAAATTAACAACGTATTCACCGGACGGATCGGTTCCGGCGTAGCCAAACTCCTTGAAGACTGAATCTTCATTTTGGTTGATTTCTAATTTGCGAAATAACTGTTTTCCGAGATTAGATATTCCACCGTGATGGAGAACCTGTTTTAGCGTAAAATATTTATTGTCGTTTAAATTAAGAGAGGAGGAAAATGATATTTGCTGAGAAAACACGAGAAGGGAATGAGAGAAAAGCAGTAAAAGGAGGGGAAGTGGTGAAAGGTGATCCAAACAAAATTTCCACATGGTGTAAAAGCAAATTCTAAAGAACAACCAAGCAAATCAAATTACAAACCACAAAAACCTAAATATAATTTTTTGTATTACAATTCCACATAGCACGGAAATCGATAAGCTCGATGGAGAGAAGATCTAAAAAAAGAATCAAAACAATGAATCCTTTTAGAACGCAATTGAAATTAAAAAATTTAAATCTAAAAAGGGTTATGCGATTACCTTCTTTTATCAGATGTACATTGTGGAGCCTGATTTGGAAAGTATCGTCGGAGAATGATAAACTCTTGATTTGAACAAGATTTGACACTAGCAAATGTCTTCTTCAAAACCCTCAAAGTCTAAAGATAAATATGTCAAAAACAAATCATTATACACACTTCCACTTCCAATATCACTTTCCTCCGGCGCCTTTTTTTCATCAACTCTTTCTTCGATACTTGCATTTACTCCATTTTTCCGTAATGATATGAGCGGAGGCGGAAAGCCCCGAGGCACTTTTGACCCGCTGTCAAACAGCGTGATAGTCACTAATAAAGAGGATATCGAAAAGTTATGGAGACAAGGATTCTTTGGTAAGGGAAATTTGTCAAGAAGCGAACCCACTTGGAATGGTGGAAGGGGAAAAGGTAAAGAACTTACGGCAGAACAAGTCACGAGAAAACGGAGGAAGGATCGAGAAAGAAAAAAAATGAGGCAGAAGAAAAAAGACGCAGCGCCTGACAACAACAATGATGAGGTCACGAATAGCCTTGGTGCGATCACCGGAGATGACAAGGTTGATAACGGTTCATCCGGTGTAGAGGGTGCATCTCATGCTACCGGCATTGAAGAAATCGTAGATATAGATAAGAATGGTGATTCTAATGAAAAAGGCGAAAAATTAATCGGTGATAATGTTGGCAGCGGCGACGAAGATGATCAGATTAAGGCAAATGACGAGATGAGGATGTCAGCAGAAGAGCATCTACAACTTACCACCGAAGAAGCATTTTTCCTGTGCTTTGGAATTTGCGGCCTGGATATCTATGATGCGGACAATGTAACCGTTAGCAGTCATCAATCAAAGGGGACATCGAAAACGACAAGTTATGACTAATGGATGCATGACTTTCTATTTATTTTTTTTTCACCATTATCCCACTACGACATAGAATTTAATGAGCATTCGGGAATGTTGGAATAAATTCCGGATCGCATCCGTCGTTCCCCATTCCCAATCCGACGATTCATTTTCCGCAGTCAATAATCAACCCGACAATCCGTTCATAGTAAGATATGTGGCTTACCATTATTTCCGCAGTTTGGGATGGGTCGTCGGGCGTGGGACTAAATTTGGCACCGATTTTGGTAAACTTTCATCTTATTTATGACGACACTCAAGCCACCTTATATTGACGAGGTCTAAGATTATGTCATATTTTTTTTAATTTGATGCGCTAACCATTTCAAGTATTATACGAAAAAGGACCTGTATTCAGACATGCCGAGTAAGTGGTAATTACATTAATGTCTCATATATCGGAATTTTTCGCATGAAGATTGATGGCGGATCCATCTATAGATACGGTGTGATAGTATTACCATGTCACAACACTCGAAAACTCGACATCGGCGATCCCTATTTTCGCCAGAATTCAATTTCCTCTTGGCAGTCATTGATGAACTTGAGTAGAGTGTGCGGGCAGGTCAAAAAGGTAATCGAAACATCCCGATTCCATTGACCCACTAAAAAAAAAACAAATAATCATAATCACATATACATATTTTTTTTTTGTGATTTCTCGTTTTTTAGTCCCTGGTATTCTGTTACGTAATAATTCCGTCCTCATGCCGGCCTTCAATTAACAATAGCAGCATAAAAGATCTTCAAAATAATGGTGATTCTAACAACAGCAACAGTAATGTTGACGGTCGTTTCAATGTCAATTTCGATGACAAGAGTGAGATTTTGAAAAACTCTTTGGAAAATCCATTAGAATGCTTGAGGAATTACAAGGTCAGAGAGGTGGTGGTGAACAGATGCATTCCTGAAAAACTAAATAAATAAATATTGAATGTGGCCTCCTAATGGCTTGCATACATGAGCTTCTTATATGAGTTCGCTGATATACAGTATTACAGAATCCCCAATTTAATCAGTTTCTGCGTTCATAATCGATGCTTTGCCTCGACAATCCCTGCCTAATTTAATCGACTATTTGTTTTTATTTTTTTTTTTTACTTACATCATTAGCCATTTGTGATCCGGTCGGGTTTGTTAAATAAAAAAACGTTGCATCACAGGGAGGCGACACAATCAGAATATTGAACCAATCATCGCCTCGAAAATTTTTTTTAAAAAAATAACACCATCTACCCGCCAGCAATTCCAGTAATTCAACCGGAAATGTCTAACTCTATCGTTATTCTTGCTCCTGTCAGCGAAATTGACATTGAAACGACCGTCAACATTACTGTTGCTGTTGTTAGAATCACCA